GCTGGGGCTGCAGTCTGGCTGTGACTGTCGGGGGAGCTGGGGACTGCCCCTCCCACCCTCCTTCTGGGGGTCTTCTCCTAGCTTGAGGGTTAAGCTGAGAGTATCCTGAGTAAGACACCTTGGGGTGTCTGTCCAGAGAGCTTCCCCACCTCAGGGAACTTGGGGTCCTGAGGGCTCTATCTCACTCCAGATGCCTCTGGGAGGGCCTGCAACTTGGGCAGTGTATCCCCACAAATGGGCAGGCTGCGGCTATGTGTGGCTGGGGACTGGTTCCCCAGGGGCCAGCCAGAATCCCTCCACCCGCACACCAGGGCCTCAGCAGCTGAAACGGGGCTCCAGGGTCACAGCTGTGGGAGCATGGGAGAAGGTCAGAGGGGCTACCAGCCCCCATCCCAGTCCTTCCCCACCAGCTGAAGCCCGCGCTCCTGTCAGCACACCCAGCTCCAGTCTCCTCCCCATGTGCTCCTCTGGGGACAGACGCCTGGCTAGGGAGGACCACAGAAGTGGGCCTGGACTCAGGAATTCATGCCCCCACGCACAGCTTCACCAGGCCCAAGCCCAACTCACAGCCGCCCCTGGCACATACAAGGCCCCACACCTGCTGCAGGTGCCACCCCCGGGAGAAGGCGTCGCATTCACGCAGCCTCCACCTCTTCCCTGGACCACCGAGATGGGGACACCGGCCCAGCCCACTGGTTGCCCACAACCTTCCTGAGGCTGGGTGCCAGGGCCTGGGGTGTAAGCCCTGGCGGGGCCTGGGTGAGAAACCGAGGCTCCCCAGGCCCTGATGCATCAGCAGAGCCGCTGCCCTGCCCCCATGGCCTGACTGGCACTGCTCGCCTCCACCCTCCACAGGCAGGGATGCCCACAGCATCAATGATTGATGCTTGCTGCGGCAGCTGCAGCAACATAAGCAAAAATAGCTCTGCTGTGGTCCCTGCCCTGCCCCAGCCCCAGCCTTGCATCCAGCCCAGCCCCGTGCCCAGATGGAGGGGTGTGAGGTGAGGTGGGAGCATCTAGGACTGTCTCAGCTGCTGCCTGCCCCTGCTCAGTCTTTTACATGGAGATGATAGGGGAGGACCCCTGTGACCAAGTGGGGGACACTTGTCCACCCAGCCTCCTACTCTTGCCTGACCACACGATTCCTGACCTCTAACCGCCTCCCTCTCCCCCAAAGCTGGGTGCCCGTTTCAGGCCTGGGTATGTCCCCAGGTCCACTTCCTCTGCACCCACAGCTGGGATCAGGAAATGTGGCAGTGGTGGGGCATGTCGGGGTGCTGCCATCGTTCCACTCGGGTGGTTTTCTTTCAACCCCCGTGTCTTTATCGGGCCCTCTGGCTCAGCAGTCCGTGTGTGCTAGCCTGGGATCTGAGCAGCAGCAGGTTCCCATGCTGCCGCCTGCAAGCCCTGCCATTGCTGCTGCCAGAGGCGAGGACAGGCACACTCCCCAGCTTGCCCTAGGGACTTGGGGCTGAGGATCCCAGAAGACCGGGATGCCTGGGTGTTTCTGGGGACCCCTCCCCAGTCAGTCCTTGCTCATCAGGTGATGCTGGGAGATCCCAAGATGACTGTGGGGCTCTGTGACAGGTGGCACTTGCCCCAGGACCTAGGCTGGCCCCTTCCTCCTGAGACTAGGGTAGGAAAGCTCGGCTCCTCTGCAGAAGGAAAGGTGCTCCCCACACACCCATTGAGCAGGGCTGGGGCTCAGGGTGGACTGAGGTGGCTGGAGGGGTCCTGGGAGGGCCACATGCGCTCCTCCTCCTGACCACACTCCACCTGCCCCTCCATGCCCCTCGGGAGTCATGGCTAATGTTTCCCCCACACCCGGACTTTAATGGGGACCCACCCTCTCTGGCCCAGTCTCCCCTATCGGCTGGGCCAATTCAACTTGAGCAGTGGCTGCTCCGATCACCAACCTGGAAGCCTTATCCTCAGCTCATGCCCTTCAGGCTGTGCCGTGAAGCAGGATGGTCTGCCCAGAAGCTGGCCCAAGAAGCCAGCGGCAGCCTAGCAGCTACCTGGGCTGCCCCACCTCCTCCTGCAACCAGGGTTGCACACCTGATGTCAAGGTTGCCACCGCCATTTCCTCTGCACCTTGGCTTCCCCGAGGTGGCACCTTTTAGTGGTTTGCAAGGGGTCACTCAGGTGTATTGGTTCCCTGCTGCTGCCATAACCAAATATCACCAACACAGTGGTCGAAAACAACATGTGTGCATTTGTCAACTCCAGTTCTAGGTGTGGGCAGGATGGAAGCCTCCCTTGCAGGTTTCAAGGGAGATCTGTTTCCCGGTCCTTTCAGCCTCCAGAGGCATCTGCAATCCTGTATCACTCCAGCTCTGCTTCCATCTTTGTGTCTCCTCTCTGACTCTGACCTTCCTGCTTCCTTCTCAGGACCTTTGTGATTACACCCATCATCCAGGCTCCGCTCCTCCTCTCAAGAGCCTTAATTTAAGCCCATCTATAAAGTATCTTTGACCCAGCAAGGTCACATATTCACAGGTTCCAGGGATTAGGATGTGGACATCTCTGTGGGGCTCTGTTCAGCTACTACACCAGCTCATCAACCCATATGAGTCATTTTTATCCTCCAACCACCCTGGGGGTACCGTGCTCCACACGCTCTCCACGTGGAAGCTGAGGCCCAGACAGGGGTGGGGAATTGCAGAGAACCAGGGGAGCAGTTCCTGTCCCAGCTCTGCTTCTCATGCAGGCCTTTGGGGCGGGGCCTCAATTTCCCCACCTGTACACAAGGACAACACTCCTCCTGCCCCCCTCCCAGCTCCCTGGGCCTCAAGGACAGCAAGGACAATGCAGTGGATGAGGGGCAGCAGTGGGAATGGACACTGCCCTTAAGCTGGCAAGACAGGCCCAGGCCTGGTCTACAAACCCAGCCAGCTCCTGATCACCGTCCTTAGAGTCACTGAGGTGCTGGGGTGGCCGAGCCAAGGTTCAGTCCTGGACAGTCTGACCAAAGAGCTCCCGTACTGCATGGCCCAGCTGCTCTGGCCCTCAGGAAGGAGCAGGGACACGAGGCTGGGTCTAAGGTGCAGAGAATGATCTCATCTTGTCATTTGTAAAATTAAATTTTTCTGTAGCTTGGCTGAGAAGGACCAGGGAGGGAAGGGGTGATTCAAGCAAGGACAGAGTCCAGGCAGGACCCCAGGCCCCAGGATGGGAGAAATATGAGCCTGCGGTAGATAGGGGATGGACAGCAGGTGGTGTGGCTCAGGGCTTCACCAGGGCCAGGCCCTGCCCTTACCCAGAGGAGGCAGTGATGGGGGCCAGTCTGGGAAGGCCAGGGAGGAGATGGAGTCAAGGTTGACTCCTTGAGTCTGGGGGTGAGGGCAGATGGCAGAAGGCAGGCCTAGAAGCCCGGAGGGGAGCTGGTAGAGGCCAGCCTAGCTCCTTGGTCGTCCTGTGGCTGGAGAGGGGCTGTCTGCCAGCCCTGCTCTGCCCGGGTCTGGCTGGTGACAAGGGAGGGCGGCACTCCGTGGGGCCTGCGAGGGAGGGGTGGAGCCTCCCCGCCGCTCCTTCCCCCAGGAATGGGGACGAGTTAGGAGTAGGTGAGGTTTTGGGGTTCAGGAGTCAGCAAGACGGACTTGGCTCTGGCCTGGGGGAGCTGGAGTCCTGAGGGGCCGTCGCTCAGCTGCACCCACAGCGGGGTCGGAGGCGCAGCGAGTTCGGCTGCGGGGCGCAGGGAGAGGGGGCTGCGGGACCTGGGGAGCTCGTCACGATAAAGAAAGAACCACTTGGCCGGGCGCGGTGGCTCAAGCCTGTAATCCCAGCACTTTGGGAGGCCGAGACGGGCGGATAACGAGGTCAGGAGATCGAGACCATCCTGGCTAACACGGTGAAACCCCGTCTCTACCAAAAAATACAAAAAACTAGCCCGGCGAGGCGGCGGGCGCCTGTAGTCCCAGCTACTCGGGAGGCTGAGGCAGGAGAATGGCGTGAATCCGGGAGGCGGAGCTTGCAGTGAGCTGAGATC